TTACATGGGAGCAATAAAAGTGAAGGATGGCATATTTTTAGGGGATCTATTTGCATCTTAGGTATATATTTATAATTTTATCAGGATCTTGAATTTATTGTAACAAATAAAGTATCAAGAATAATGAATTGTGCATCAAAAGTAATATCAAATCATTGGGAAGAAATAGGGATAGTTTATCTGTCATATCCATGGACAGATAATGATCAATAAGTATTTTTAGAATTTATTTAGATTATTTTTTAATCAGATGAGAGTATGAATAGTGCAATAAAATTTATTGATGATGCCTTGTTTAATGGGGAAAGTGTAATTGTTCTTTCTGTAAAAGACACAATAGATCAGTGTCAGTTTTATATATTTATTTAATGAAGAAATATAGATGAACTCTTTATAAAACATTATAATATATGTACAATAGAAGACCAGATTTAGAAATAAAAGCACATTTTTTTAATTAGTTATAATAGATAGAAACTAGATTATAAAAATTAGGATATGGAGCAAAGACTTTTAATTGGCAAGAAATATATATATAAGGAGATAATGATGAAATAATATTGAGGAATACTTACTTAAATTCTTAGGCTTAAGGTGTAGCAGAATTTAAGGATAATAATTCTAACTTAAAAGAATACAAGTTTATTTTTTAATTTAATTAGATTAAAATTTGCCAATAAAAAACTATGTATATACCTCCATATGATAAAATAATATTCTCAAAAAGTAAATCAATTTTTAAAGTTATTAAATCAATTATTAAAGATTCTGGTTCTTCAAAATAAATTGATCCAGAATTTTAGTTACCTTAACAGAAACAATAATAAAAATCTAATTATGAATTAAGTACATAAATTCATGATTAATTAAATCAAAAGCAAAAATAAATTGATATACAAAATTAGAGTCCTTTGTAGATATCTCCAATTTAGCCTTAAAGATCATAATCAGTATAATAAATTTGTAAATTCATTCAAATAATTTAGAACATAATTTCATGGATTCAAAAGATCAATTATTATTAAAATCTTAAAAGTAAAATTAATAAACAATTACTGAAGTACGCCGTCCTTAAACAGCTCCAAATTAATTAAAAGCTCCCAGAATTTAAACTACTCCATATAAAGGAAAAAAAATTTCAGGTTATAGAAATGAAATAGGTTTATAACCTAATTCTTAATTTAAACCTATGAAAAAAAGAACATAATCTCCTAAGGCAGTTTATAAAGTTATAAATCCATATGTTTAAAGATAATTTAAAGTAAAGACATTCAAAAAATGAGTTTTCAATTTTTATCTTTTTAATTATGTTATATTTATTATGAATTTTACATTCAAACTTTAATAAGTAGATTTGTTAGATTATGAATATAAAGAATTATATAAAATAAATTTATGAATATGTCAAAATTCTATTCTCATAATAAGCAATATAATCCAAAAAGGAAAAGGCAAAAGTCTCCAAATAACATTAATAATACTGATACACCTCCAATAAAGAGATCGGTTACTTATAATGGTGATTCAGATTTATTATATAAGATTGTTAATAACGAAAATTTAGTTGAATTAATAGATAAAATATAAAAGCAAAAATAAGATCATTATTTAAAGATTGAAAATACTTAAACTTTGACTTTACCTTCAATTTAAAACTAAATAGAAAGACATCATTTTATTACGTAGAGAAAATAAAAAAAAAAATAAGAGAAAGAATATATTCCATTTACCTATCCACTTAATCCTAAAAAAGTAGCTTATTATTAAGAAAACAATTTATATGGTAAATTCATAGAGCCAACTGAATATAAAAAAATAAATTATGAATCTATAAAAACAGTGTACAAATTTATCGTATAATAGTGAAACTGCAATATCAGAATAATTAGCCAGTGAAAGTAGATTAAAAAGATCATTGACAGAACGAAAGGAAGAAACACACAAAAACAAATTCAAATTAATTTAGTAATCAACTGAAGATAATTTAGAGAATGAAAAAGAGATAAAAAATTATACTTTGTCAAAATCAGATTATGCAAATTTAGACTCTTTGTATAGTAAATAAGGTAAAATGAATTAAATAATAAAAAATGCATTAAAAATAAAATCTCATGCAAGAGATCCTTCAAATGCATCAAAATCTATTTTGTCAGAAAGAATACAATTATAATTAGAGTTAAAAAAATAATATGAATAATCTTTAGATTTAGCTTTATAAGGATATCTTGTTTATGATGATAAAAAATTTGAAAAAAAATAAGCAAATTGGTCATAATTATTGCAAAGATTGAATTATAAATAATATCCAAATCGAAATATGAAATAAAATTCAGTTCATTAAAAGAAATAGCTGTTTGTAAATAAAACTCTAGATATATAAGATAAATGTTCAGAAGTATTATATGAATGAAGAGTATGAACAAATATATATTAGTACTGTTAATGAAATTATATTAAATTAAATTAGAATGTATTAATTAACATAAGCAGGGTGGCGAAGTGGAATCGCGTTGGGCTCATAACTCAAAGGTCGGTGGATCGAAACCACTCTCTGCTATATTTTTTATTTAAATTATTTGAATACTTAATAAGAAGCAATAAGGAACATAAATTCTTTAATAATTTTTATAATATTTTTTTAATATTTTTTGAATCAATTTAATGCTGATTTCCAAATAAATAATTCACCATTTTATTATCCTGTACATAACAATTGATGATTATTAGACAAACAAAAATTTGGATAATAATCTTATTAAATGCTAAACATTTATTGTTATTATTCTGATGGTATATTCCAAATTCGAATTTCTTTTGTCGAAGATGATATTATTAGATTAGAATGATTAGAAAACTAAACATTCCAAATAAATGATGTATGTCCAATAAATTCTAAAAGAGGTTCCCAAGTTTGTACTTTCCATAATTTTACAATTCCATCTTCTCCTCCTGTAACCATATATTTTAAATCTTTTGAAAATTCAATGCAATTGCATGAAGTTTTATGTGGTTATATTTAATGAACAATTGAGAAATTATTAGAGATATTCCATATAATAAGTTATTTATCTAAAGCTGAAGTCGCCATAAATTTACAATTATTAGAAATAGCTATTCCCTTTACAGAACTTTTATGGTGTTTTAAAATTCTTGATGGTTCAGGTTTAGTTTCATGCCAAATAACAACTTAATGATCTTAACTAATTGATACCAATTACGAAGATTCAGGTACAAATTTGATTCTTTCAACTGTTTTTGTATGATATTTTAATCTAAATATAGGTTATTTTGTATCATTAAAATTCCATATCCTAATAATATAGTCATTTGAACCACAAGCAGCAATATGTTAACCATCATCTGAAATAGCAACACAAAATGCATAATCAAAATTATCATTTATCTATTCTATTTCTGTATGTGTTGATGTATCCCATATTTTTAATTTACCTTCACTACTTGCTGTTATTACTTTACTACAATCAGGAGTTATCACCACCGAATTTATTGCAAAATCATGTGCTGGTATTATCACAGGAGTCGATTTAAATAATAATTTATAATCAGGAACTGTGTTTACCTTTTAAATTTTATATTTAATATACTTCTGCTTCAATTTATAATACTTGTTCATATGTGCATTTTATTTATTATCTTATTTAAGATAATTTTGTAAATATTGGTTAAAATTATTCACTCTATAGTTGGGATTTATTAATATTCTTGAATTAAGAATATAAAGTAAGATAACTTAAATTTTCTGATAAATCTTATAAATCACTAATTACTATCTAATTTTAATTCATTATTTTTTTTATCAATCTTGTATGATCAAACTTTTATTGGATTTCTATAATTTTTTATTCTAACTATTCCAAATCCTAAACAATATCCTATTTCAATTTTTAAATCACCTTAATCACATTTGTTCTTGTTATTTTTTCACATTCCCTTATATTTTAAACTAATTCTTCAATATTTTCAAGTGGAGTCCAATTTGGATAGGTTTATTTATCTTTCAAACAAATATCACATAACACACGATTTTTCATTGAAAATTTCTCTGTGATGCACAAACTTGTTATCACATTATTATGTTTTGGACATTTAAGATCTTTTGATCTAAGTTTTAAAGAATTAATCATAAACTAATATTAATCCATAAAATTCCAATTAAATTACCTTATGCTTACATGATATTTTACGAATTATCATATAGAATTTTTTAATAAAAATATAATCATTAATAGTTGAGTTCAATCATGTATTATTATTATCATTTTTAATATGTTAATCATTATCAGCTCTGAACTTATAAATTTAAATTTCTTTTATCATATATATGAAATCTATCTAATTATTTCCAAATACTTATAATTTTACTTTTCATAATACTTTTTAATGTTTAGATTTCTAAAGTAAAATTTGTTCATGAATAAATTTTCATTTATTTTTGGCCAATTTATTAACTATATTATTATTACAAATAAAATTTAGAAATAATATTTTACATCATTTTACTATCAAATTAAAAATTGAATTTTCCTCCTATTTTTTCCATTTTATAGTGATGAATAAATTCTAAACATTTTCTAATATCAAACTTATGTTATTTATATCAAAGTCTATTATACTACTTTCTCATTATTTGAATACATAATTTAGTGAATCAAAAAATTTATTTGTCTTAATATTTATTCACAATTTAAAAATAATATATAAATTACTTTTAAAAGATAATTTATTTTACCAAAAAAATATACATTAAAAACCTTTAGTTTATTCAAACTTAATAATATATTAATATTATGAATTATTGTTAAAAAAATGTTTATTTTGTTATCTTTATTAAATTCTTATCTTTGATTTGAATGGTAATTATTTTATTCAATGCATCATGAATAGTTAGATCTCATAATACTTAAAGTTATTCATTTATAATATTTTTTTTTTTTAATTTAATATCTCTCTTTTAAGTATATATATTTTTAGATCTACTACTGACTCAAAGAATAATATGATGTAAAAATAAATTATCAAAAAAAAAAGCATAAAAATTCAATCATTTATTTCAAAAATTTTGTAAAAGTGATAATAATTCTCGCTTTTTTTATCTAAATAATAATCAAGAAGATCTATCCCTGCAGTGACTTTTGGGTATATAAGTTCAAGGTAATTTAAATTAAATTTATTTGGCAACGGTAAAATCCAAAGTAATAAATTATTACCAAGTAGTTTTTTTAATTTTTAGTCAAAATTTCTAAAATAAGTATATCTTTATCCTTTTTACCCATGATAAGTATCCAAATCAGGTAATTATATAAATTTATCTTTCAATAACTAATTACTGATTTAATATCCAATATAAGATATTAATAGCTAAAATAGATTAAAAATGAAGTCAAATGATAAGAAATTGTAAAGGAATGACCATGATAAATTATTAATTCCTAATAAATGAATTTGTTTGATTAATTAAAAGAACTAAAACAAACTTGTAATTCCGTGAATTATAGTAATTATTGCAAAGTATANTTATTATTACAAATAAAATTTAGAAATAATATTTTACATCATTTTACTATCAAATTAAAAATTGAATTTTCCTCCTATTTTTTCCATTTTATAGTGATGAATAAATTCTAAACATTTTCTAATATCAAACTTATGTTATTTATATCAAAGTCTATTATACTACTTTCTCATTATTTGAATACATAATTTAGTGAATCAAAAAATTTATTTGTCTTAATATTTATTCACAATTTAAAAATAATATATAAATTACTTTTAAAAGATAATTTATTTTACCAAAAAAATATACATTAAAAACCTTTAGTTTATTCAAACTTAATAATATATTAATATTATGAATTATTGTTAAAAAAATGTTTATTTTGTTATCTTTATTAAATTCTTATCTTTGATTTGAATGGTAATTATTTTATTCAATGCATCATGAATAGTTAGATCTCATAATACTTAAAGTTATTCATTTATAATATTTTTTTTTTTTAATTTAATATCTCTCTTTTAAGTATATATATTTTTAGATCTACTACTGACTCAAAGAATAATATGATGTAAAAATAAATTATCAAAAAAAAAAGCATAAAAATTCAATCATTTATTTCAAAAATTTTGTAAAAGTGATAATAATTCTCGCTTTTTTTATCTAAATAATAATCAAGAAGATCTATCCCTGCAGTGACTTTTGGGTATATAAGTTCAAGGTAATTTAAATTAAATTTATTTGGCAACGGTAAAATCCAAAGTAATAAATTATTACCAAGTAGTTTTTTTAATTTTTAGTCAAAATTTCTAAAATAAGTATATCTTTATCCTTTTTACCCATGATAAGTATCCAAATCAGGTAATTATATAAATTTATCTTTCAATAACTAATTACTGATTTAATATCCAATATAAGATATTAATAGCTAAAATAGATTAAAAATGAAGTCAAATGATAAGAAATTGTAAAGGAATGACCATGATAAATTATTAATTCCTAATAAATGAATTTGTTTGATTAATTAAAAGAACTAAAACAAACTTGTAATTCCGTGAATTATAGTAATTATTGCAAAGTATATTAAAAATTGGCAAAAAAATTTTAAATTCTTGTAGCCAATACAACAATTAAACCAAATACAATGATGATCTCTGTAATAAATACATTTATTACAAGTTGAACAATGATGAGCTTTTGGAGGTTTCCAATAACCATGACATTTTTTACATTTATTTTGCAATTATAGTTAATTTTCGATAATGAGATGAGGTGTAAAAACTTATTTTTTTTATATTTCCTCCATTATTTCAATAGGTGTTTATTATAATTTGATTGGACCTGGTTCCGTATAAACAATTTAATAATGTGACAAAATAAGTAAAATCTTAATAACTAATGATGTTATAAATAGAGTGTATCCATAGTCGTGATAAATAATAAAGTAAGTGGAGGCTAAATAAAATAAGATTAAAATGTATTTGTAAGGTAATTTTTCTAAACTCATAGAAATATAGTTAAAATAAAATAAAATTTAATAAAAAAATATTTGTTTTAAAAAAATGAATGAATAAAAAGAGAAAAACCTCATTAAACTAATTTAAGAAAGTTAGGTACCCTTTATTATTTAGATGAAATTTATTTTCTATAATTAAGTATTGCTGCTCTAACTTAATGATTAACTTTCAAATTATTTTTGGAAAGTTTATCATAGAAATTTTGGTACTTATCAGGATCGAAATAAGTATCCTTTAAATGAGGAGGTAAAACAGATGGTGAACGAAAATAAGGATTATAAATTCTTGGTTCTATCATTTATTATGGTTCATCATTTATGATGGCTTAAGCATTTAAAAGTTTCTTTAAAACAAAATCAATTTCGTTTCTTCTGTCATGTAATTATTATTATTATGGTTATTTAAGTTCTGTTTTTTTAGTTTAAGGTAATAATGTAGCATTAGATGATTTTCTACTTAGAATACTTGTTTAGTAAAGAACTTATTCTTATACTTTTTCTAATAAATCTTGAGTACTAGAATAATGACGATCTGTTTAAATAGATGGTATATTTTATTTTATTCTTCTTAATTACTTTTCAATAGATTGATTTCTAGCAGATCTCATTTCTGTATAATCTGGAGTAGGATTTTTTATAGGTTTTGGCATCGGTAAAAATAGTAAATTAGAGTTTTTACGATTGAACATAATAAATTATATTAAAATATTAGTTTTTTTGAAAAAAGAATCTCATAAATTGAATTAATGTTTTATTTATAGGACTTCTTTTTCATTCGTGGCTATTAGCAAATCAACTCTTTCTAAATATTCTAATTCGTCTTATAATTTTTTGACAATTTGAGAATGTTTTTTTTCTCCTCTTTTAAGAAATTTTTATAGTTTTTCTTAAACATTTTCAAATTGTTATTATTGAGCTTATGGAATTCTAGGAATAATTGGTCCAGGTTTATTTCTTAAAGTATTCCAGTCGATTGAATTTAAAAATGGATGTTTTTTTATTTATTCAATGGATTCATGACCAATCCTTTAATTGTAATCAGGATTCAATAGTTATTTTAATAGATCATAAACGCATTCAGAAATCTAAGATTCTGGATCATCTCCAATATCTGGCCAATCTATTTTACCTTCTAAAATATTTGAAAATATTTTATCAACGGATTCATCATTAAAAGGAGGGATTCCAACTAGAAATTCAAAGAGAATGACACCTAAAGACCAATAATCTAGAGTTTTATTTGAGGAAGATATTCCTTTAATAATTTCAGGTGCAATATAATCAGGAGTACCAACAATCCTACGTCTTTCTTCTTCAGAACCTTTATCATATTGACTGTTATTGGATCTAGACTTCTTAAATGAAGCACCTCTTTAAATTATATATCCAGGAGAAGATGATAAATCTTATTTAACAATATCTCTTTAACTAGCCTTTCTTTTAACCATCATTTTATTGAAACCTAATTCACTTAAACCAAAATCAGCTAATTTAATATGACCATTCTAATCTAACAATATATTTTCTGGTTTTAAATCTCTATGTACTATATTATTACTATGAAGATATTCTAATGCCAAAAGAATTTCTGCAAAATAATGTCTTGCTATATTTTCATCAAATGCCTATATAATAATATATAAATACTCCTTCAATCATTAAAATTTTAGCAAAATCTCCACCAACCATATATTCTTAGACAAAACATAAAGATGATTAATGTTAAAATGAATAGAATGCTTTAACTACATATTCTCCAGTTAGTATTTCAAATATATTCCTCTCTTATTTTAATTAAGTTAACAATCTTTCAAATGGTCTATTAGAACAATTAATTATTTTTAATGCATAACAATCTCCTGTTGCTATTCTTTTAACATAAAATACTCCACCATATGCTCCCTATCCTATTTATCTTATAAATTAAAAATCTTTTAAACAAATATTTCTCTCTTAATTTCTATTTTCAGCATCTAATTTAATAATTTCCCCATCAGAAAAATATCCTTTTTAAGATGCAAAAAAGCAATCTTATTCAAATTGAATTTATTCTGTTGATTCTATAGTTTTAAACTATTAATCAGAATTTTCAATGCTTATATCTAATTCACTTTCTGAACTTGCTGTTTAAGCAAAACAACTTCTCTTTTTAGTTTAAAAATGACTAGGTTTCTCTTACTCAGATTCATCTTAATTCTAAATTGTTTAAACTGACTACTATCTTTATAGAAATTAACTTATCTTTCCACTCTTTTTTAAATTGCCCATAATTGATACCGATGATTTACCAGGAGTTGAAGGCCTTGATCGTGTCTTTTTTTCAGATTCACTTGTTTCTTCACTTAGACTTGAAATGTGTCATTATTTTACTTACTTCAAACTAATATAATCCGAAAATGAATTCAATCTATGGCTATCTCGTACTGAACTTGGACTATCCTTACTAAACTTACTTACTCTAAAGGATATACTACCAAAATTCTATATCTTTACTATCATATACTTAACTCATATTTACATTTAAAGCAATAATCTAACCTTTAATTTATTAAGCTATTCATTTACTCTATTAAATTTAAAATACTCTAATCTTCTATACTCATTTGACCTGCCATCAATTCATTTTAAGTTATCAAGTGATCTAGCTTATCTTTTATTATACATTTTGCATCTAATTCTTAATTTACAACTTTCTCTCCATAACTTATTAATAGTAATAATATTCTATATTCCTAATAAACCTATCTCGTATCTTCACAACACTATATTCCTTCATTTTTACGAAGTCTCAATTCTTTCATGCTATTTTTATTACTTTTTCTATATTTACAATTTTAATCCTTGCTTCAAATGAATCTAATGTTTCTTCATATAAGCTTTTTCACATAAACGAGCAACTTATAAGTTTAATTAAACCAATTTCTTTCTTTATTCAGCATTATGCCTACAAGTTTAATTATGAATATCCATTAAATTAATGTTGATGCTTTCATTGCAAATACGACAAATTATCAAATATTCCATTAATAAAATTATTTAAATACGACATTATATCAAATTTTAATGTTAATTATAAATTATTTTGGACATTTCAACTCATCCACTAATACAATTTAAACTATATATTCAATTTCTACTCATTTTATAAAATAATTATTCAACTCATTCAAATTTTGTTACACTACAACTTTTTTTTCTTCTTTTTCGTTTTCATTCATTTATAAATCACCAACTTATTTTGTCAATAATAAATTTCAAATATATTTGATTTCTTATTATTTTGATACTAAATTTATTTTATTAAAAACTCTACATAGAAGTTACCTATTAAATTTTATTTAATTCATTCATTCTAGTTTTAAGTTCAATAAATTCATTTGTTCTATCTTAATTTAAATTCAATTTCTTCTTTTTAACAAACTACTACATTATATTAAATTATCAGATTAGATTCAAAAAAGTAGTTCAAAATAAAAAATAAAAAATTAGTTCTAAAAGCTCATTAAACATTTAAAGTAATATTTAAGCTCTTCCTGCAGACTGATTGTAGATCCAACATTATTTATTAAACAAATATAGAATAATAAATGATTACGCTATTACAGTAAAATAAATTAAAACAAAGTGAAGCTAATCCTTCATGTAATTATTATTTATTAGTCAACTCTAAGTATGAAGATCATCTCTATGATGATAAGTATAAATTAACTTATAAGAAATATGAGTTATAAACTTATAATATATATGTTAGTAAATCAATCAGAATTCTTTCCTACTTTATTTATTAGTATTAAGGTCTTCAATTAGTGAATTACATGAGTCCTTAGGTGTTTCATATTAGTCATCAGGTGTCTCATATAATTCAAGATTCTTAATTCCTGAAAACTTTTTTTTATATATTGAAGCCAAAGGCGATTCATTGTCAATTTAGGAAATGATTGCATCAAAATCAAACTTTGTTTAAACTTTAAGATTGTCAAATTTTCTATTCATTCTTTATATGTTCTAAAAATATTTTAAAATAATTATTCTAATTTTTACAAATTACCTTATCTTTTTATAATACATTTTTTTAGATTATGTCATTATAATTGTAATTATAATAACTTGATCAAAATAATTAAAATAGTTTTGTCAGATTTAATTGGAATAAATTTATGTAATAATTTAATAATAACTATATAATAATAGCCAAATATAATCAAAGTTACTCTAAAATTAATTATACAAAGAATGTTAATACATCAAAAAAAAATGTTTTATCAAATATAGTTATTAAAAATATAATAAAAAAATATTAGAACCAATAATCAGATTTGTATTTTTAAATTAGACTATTAATTGAGTCAGATAAAAAAGTATCTTCTTTATATTTCAGCAACAATAATTTTAAGAATTAAGTAGAATATAAAACATTTTAAAAATTGCATTTAAATATTATTTCAGTAATAAAAGTTAAGTAGTTGTAATTTATAAAGTGTTTGAAAAAAATATAATACAAAATTTTTCATTATTTTGATAGATGTTCTTTAAAATGAACATTTATTATTCCTACTTTACCTTAGATTCCAACATCATCATTTAATTAATCGTCGAAATCATCAAAATCATCAAAATTAATAGTTTATTTTTTTTTTTTATTTTTATCTTTATTTTAGTATTTTTCTCTATCCTCTAAATCTCTAAATTCACCATTTTTAAATATTTATCCTTATAATCTTTGACCAATAGGCTATCTAATTAATGAGGATTCTCTAGAGAAAGAATTTTTTGAATTTTGTCGGGATCTTTGATAATGACTATCTTTTAATCGACTATTAATTTTGGATACAACTGATGGAACGTAATTTAATACAACAGATGATTATTACGAACTAAATTATTCTATAGCTTAAAATGATTTCTTTTTTTCACTTCTTTTTAGATCAGGTATTTTTAGATAATCACCCTATAAATTTGAAATGTCAATATCATTAAAAGATTATTATGCTTAATCTGATGATTTGGTAGAACTAGTTTAATTATCATTCCAATCAAATTTTCGATCTAAATTGAATCCATTTTAGGAAGCAATCTTTTAGAATAATTAAAATAAGTATTTGTAATCTGGAGTTGTTTAGAATTTCAATTTCTATACATAATCCATATATTTTTAGAATTCAAGTGGAAGACCTTTACATAATTCTCTCATTTCTATTTCCATTTTTAATTTACCAACTAGCTTTGTTTTTTCTCTATCTGAAGAAGAAGTGATATTTTACCATGGTAAATTTCCTATCATTAAATTTAAGAGATACCTTTTAATAAGTATATGAATACATATCCAAGACTTTCTAGATCATCTCTTCTGGATAATTCATAGCCTTTATGAGCTGAAATACTAGCATAACGAGTAGTTCCCATGAAAGGTTTATTCTCTTAAAATGATCTAAATATTTATAGAAATATTTACATATGTTAATTATTAACTCGATATTTTTTAGAAATGCCATAATCTACTAAATAAACTTATTGAGAATCAGTTCCTCTTCCCATAAGAATATTTTCTGGTTTAATATCTCTATGTATAACACCTCTTTTATATAAAAATTTATATACCTTTTATGAACTTCTTCTATGATAGTAAGTAACTATTCAGCTAAGTTACAGATGGTTTTTAATGATAGTTTTTTGAATCTTTTTAAAAAATGAGCCAAGTCTTTTCCTAGTAATTGCATAGCCATACAATTTGAATTATATTCATTTCCATACCAATAGAGTTTTGGAACTCCTGAAGATTAATAATAAATTTGTATACCAACTATTCCTCTTAATTCCTCTATTATCTATATTTCTCTTTCTAAACTCATTAAATCACTATTTTCTTTTTCAACTTTAATGGCTACATAATCTCTAGTAAATTTATCATGACAAATATAAACAACTCCAAAAGATCCTTTTAAATCAAACATTTTATATACCTTGGTTTAATTTTTCTTTTTGTACAAATCTTCCTTAATAAATCCTGACTTTCTCTTATTGCATATAATTAAAAATATATATATTTATAGCTTTAATATTAAATAAGGTTTCTTAGTATTTTCCTAAAAAGTGAAGTCTAAGAATATATATAAATATTTATAAAATAACAGAAAATTTATAAATGATAATATGATGTTCATAAATCATCTTCATCATCATTAACAATAAAATTATTCATAGATCCCAAAGAATCTTAATCTTCATTTTCATTTTCTTTTTGATTTTTTTTTAATTTTTTACTTTATTTTTGAGTTTGAGTCTTAATTTTTTTAGTTTTAGTAATGTTTATAAAATCTTCTTATTTTTTGTCTTCTTCTTCTTCTAATTCTTTTTAAGCTTATTCAATTAAAGGAGCTTCTTCTCCAATTAATGGATTATAATTTTCACTCTAAAATATATAATTAAATATTTACTAGATATCTTTCGGTATTTTGTTATCTTTTAGTTGCTTTTTCTTTTAAAATAAGATGTCTTTTATTATACATTTTTGTTAATTAAGTTTTAATTTGGGTATCAATAGTACTCAATAAATTATCTTTTAATGGATTAAATATTTAATTATGAAGTTCTTCTTTTAATTAATCAGGAGTAATTCTATATTATTCCATAATTGAAATAACATTCCATATTGCATCTTTATCATTTCTAAGTATTTTTAATTCTAAATATTATTTAATTAAGTTAAATAGATATTTAGAATATAATTTTATATCGGATGTTAAATATGTAAAGGGAGCAAATCTATTTTTAATAATATGACTTTCTCTTTTAATTTTAGAAGCAGTTGAATTCTTTCCTAACCATGAAGGAAATTTAGGAAATTCCATTTTATCTCCAATAATAGTTGATGGATAAACACTAGATAAGAATCCAAAAGATGGCATTAATGACCATTATTAATTTTTTCTAATTTTTTTAGATATTATATCACCTTCAGCTATTAATTATGCAGCTTTAGCAACATTATTAATATTCTAATGATTTGATAAAATGTAATTATCTTATATAATAAGTGGAATTAGATCATAATCTAAGTAAAACATATCCATCATATCTCTAAATGATAATTATTATCTTTAATTTTAATTTAATAAACTTAAAGCTGCATTAAATGTATTAAAAACACAAACTTTATCTTTTTTGAATGAATTAGGTTTGATAATATTAGTTTTTGATTATATTTTTTGTAATTCCAACATATTGATAGATTATCTGATATCACAATCGAAACAAATAGCTAATTTTTCAAGATCTTCATAAGTCATATTAATATGTTCTTAATCACATATATATTTTAATCTTTTAGCAATAGATTTAGGTTCTGGTTTTTAAAATTTAATACTATAACAATGATTTAACAATGATTTTAATTTTTGATTGTCAATATCATTACAAATACAAATAATAGGAATTCTAGTAGATTTAATACATTCTATTAATGCTGATATTCCACCTCTATCAGAACCTGTCATTCCATCAACTTCATCCATAACAATTAAAAAGTCTTTATTTGGTCTAAATAAATTCATTAATACACTATTATCAACTAAATCATTAAGTATAGTTCTTAAACTTTCTTTATTTCTTTTATCTGATGCATTATTTATAATTAATTTTAATCCTAATGCTTCACCTACTAATCTTACCATAGAAGTTTTACCTATACCTGGAGGACCACTTATTATACAAGCTTTAGAACTTTATTTAGAATAATAAATTAATACTTAATATTTCCAATAGCTTAATATCTTCCCATTTTCAATGGTATAAATTTCTTTTTTTATTTTTATTATTCTTCATTTGAATTTGGATGTTAAAATTTATATATCCAATCATTTAATTAAGTTACACTTGATTTATTATCTACTAAATCAGATAATGTTTATGGCATATATTTATCTGCCATACTTATATTCTTATTTTCATCTCTATTAAATTCATTTTTATTTTTTTAACCTGATTTCTTATATAATTTAGATAAATTAGAATCTGGAAATATCAATTCTAATCCAATTCCTATTTTATCTAATAACCAATCATTAATATCATCTTCTTTTATTATTTTTGTTCCTCTTTTTATTGCTTCTTTATATTTATTACCTTCCTCACCTTTTCTTCCATCTTCTAATTTATCTCCTACTATTAAATAATTAGTTTTCCCAGATATACTTCCAGTTACCTTTGCTCCATTATTCTTTAAAAACTATTCAAATTTCTCTCTACTACAAACATTTAATAATCCACTCAATACTATTGTTAATCCTTTAAATAAATTTATATCATTCTTAAATTCTTATTATTTTTCTTATTCAAACTATTACATTCTATTATTATCTATCTTCAAATCTTTCAAATTTTAATTCTCCCATCTTATATTCAATTCTCCTTTCTTATTTTTCATTTATCCCTATTATTATTCAATTTATATTTCAAAACTTTTTTTTATATCTGGTCCTAAATTTATAAGAGATTCATTTTTCTTTTATTTCTACAAATCTATCTTTTTTAATTATTAAACTATTTCTCTTCCATTATCTAAACCATAATTTTATTTATTGATTTAATATTATTATTATTATTATTATTATTATTATTATTAAACAATTGTTAATCCTTTTTTATTATCCTTATTTTATTCCTTAATCTTTCTTTCTATTTCTAATTATTCTTATACATTTATTTCATCAACATTAATATCCTGTGTCTAGTTTTTTATGAATTCTTTTTACTTCTTTTATGAACTCTATGATGGATTAACTAAAACACTTTTTCCAAAGAATTAAAATAAATTTGGTTAATTTCCTTATTTTTAAGCAGAAGGTTTCTTAAATGATTATGCTTAGTTTTTATGTTAAATGTTATTACGATTATTTTAAATATTAAACACATCAGAATTTTTTTGGGTTTGTTATTAAAATTATTTTTAAACATTATATTATTGTTCCTATTATTTTTATTACTCATTTTTATTTTTTCCTTCATACTTATAATTGTTAAGATTATCCTCTTCCTCTATATCTGAAAGAACTTCTGTATGATTTGATTAACTTTCAACAGAATTTTGTATTAACCTCTTTCGGGAATTACTCATAATTTATTAATTATTTATAATCATTCTTAAATTTCTTCACTTTAATTATTTAAATGAAATTCTGATTCTAATTAGTAAAATTACCATACTATTAAAATTGGTTTATTTTATTCAGGATTTCTAATTATATGATCTTCTAAAATAACTAATATTTCTAGCCATTTCTAATTTCAATCTTCATCCATTTTTGATTAATATATCTTACTAATTCTCATTTTATAATCCAAATTTCTATTACACTTATTATAGAGAATCTAATTAAGCTAAATCTCTAATATAAGAAACTAATTATTGATTATTTGATTCTGCATCCTTTATTTAAGTACTATAAGTTGTCATACTATTTCTTACACTAATAATTCATTCTTTTAATCACTCTTTTTTATTTCATAACTCATATCAACCTTAAAATTTTTAATTTTTATTCAACTGTAAATCTAAATCTTCTAAGTACTTTTTCTATTCTTCCAAACTTAAATTAGAATTTTCTTCCAATAATCCCAAAAACTTTGCAAAATCATTTACTTTCACTATTGCAATATTTTTTATATTGATATTATAATTCTATTTTTATTATAACAAAATCATAAATTTTTACTCTGCGACAATAGTATATCCAAATTATTCCAAATAATAATTATCTATAAATGATGCCATAATTTAATCTTGAAATGTTTATTTTCTTTTTAATTTTATAATTTTTCTTATTTTTACAAGCTCTTAATACATTTTAATATCAATTTTATTGGTATTTTTATTTTATATTTATCAAAGTTTTTTTTACTTTATTTTTTCTATTAAAAATCATATAATCTAAAATCCCATTTATTACTTTGAAATCAACAAATATTGTCTAAATATTCTCAGTTTTCTAATTTTCACAATTTTTCATTTTCTAATTAAATTATTACATTTTTGCAGTTAATTCATCAAAATTTAATTTCAACAATATTTTATCATTCTCTAACTTTTAATTTAATTTACTTATTCCATCTATGTTTTAATAATCGTCTAATTATTATTAATTTAATTCATTATTAGTGATCTTAAGTTTCTAGAAATTGATGAATTTCACCATTTATTTTTATTTAGATTTTTGTGGTCTATGTGTTGATTATTTCAAAGATTTTATCTATATTATTGAATAACTATTAGTTTATTAAGATTAGGGTTGAATGTCTTAAAAATCTAAATTATTTATTATAAATACTATTAGATTTTATAGAAGAATAAGATAATATATCATAATATAAAAGAGTATTAGTATATTTAGTTTAATTTTGAACAATCTCATCTAAATTCATTTGATAATCAATTTATTATTTAAAAATATTGATTTCAAGAACTATTTTAATTTCTTATGAAATATCATCATATTTATATTCAATAAAACAAAGATCTCATTTAGAGAACCAATTCTATCTATTTTACTCAAAGTTTAAATAAATTAATATATCATATTCAATTATTCTAAGATATTTCTAATTTTAGTGAATATTTCAACATTCAAAAAATCAATAAAACGAAACAAAAATTTTTTTATAAATTTTAAGCATCTAATTAAGTTATTAGAATATCTTATATTCAACTATATTAATTTTTTCTTTATGAAGTTAAATCATAATATAATTTTATATTTATTTCCTTTTTAATTAATAATAAATAAACTCTTTTTTTCAGAAAAAAATTATTTCTACAAATTTTTTAANTAGTATATCCAAATTATTCCAAATAATAATTATCTATAAATGATGCCATAATTTAATCTTGAAATGTTTATTTTCTTTTTAATTTTATAATTTTTCTTATTTTTACAAGCTCTTAATACATTTTAATATCAATTTTATTGGTATTTTTATTTTATATTTATCAAAGTTTTTTTTACTTTATTTTTTCTATTAAAAATCATATAATCTAAAATCCCATTTATTACTTTGAAATCAACAAATATTGTCTAAATATTCTCAGTTTTCTAATTTTCACAATTTTTCATTTTCTAATTAAATTATTACATTTTTGCAGTTAATTCATCAAAATTTAATTTCAACAATATTTTATCATTCTCTAACTTTTAATTTAATTTACTTATTCCATCTATGTTTTAATAATCGTCTAATTATTATTAATTTAATTCATTATTAGTGATCTTAAGTTTCTAGAAATTGATGAATTTCACCATTTATTTTTATTTAGATTTTTGTGGTCTATGTGTTGATTATTTCAAAGATTTTATCTATATTATTGAATAACTATTAGTTTATTAAGATTAGGGTTGAATGTCTTAAAAATCTAAATTATTTATTATAAATACTATTAGATTTTATAGAAGAATAAGATAATATATCATAATATAAAAGAGTATTAGTATATTTAGTTTAATTTTGAACAATCTCATCTAAATTCATTTGATAATCAATTTATTATTTAAAAATATTGATTTCAAGAACTATTTTAATTTCTTATGAAATATCATCATATTTATATTCAATAAAACAAAGATCTCATTTAGAGAACCAATTCTATCTATTTTACTCAAAGTTTAAATAAATTAATATATCATATTCAATTATTCTAAGATATTTCTAATTTTAGTGAATATTTCAACATTCAAAAAATCAATAAAACGAAACAAAAATTTTTTTATAAATTTTAAGCATCTAATTAAGTTATTAGAATATCTTATATTCAACTATATTAATTTTTTCTTTATGAAGTTAAATCATAATATAATTTTATATTTATTTCCTTTTTAATTAATAATAAATAAACTCTTTTTTTCAGAAAAAAATTATTTCTACAAATTTTTTAAATTATTTAGCTCTTTTTCAATTCATATTAATGAAATATAAGTTATAAGTTATTAATTAAATAAACATGAATCAAACTTTAAGATATGATATAACATGAGTAAACTAAACCATAAATAGGATTATTAATTTTGCTCACTATTACAATTTTTAAGAACGTTTCATATTAAAATGAATTTTTTTCTGCTTTTTAACCTAAAACCTTAAAAAATAATTAAATATACTTGCATTTAATTATTATATATATATTTCTATTAAGATAATAAAATCTGATACATCCACTCATTATAATCTATTTTATTATTATGCTAATATTTAAATAAGTTATATTATAAGGAGAATTGTAATTTTTTCCAATATTTACTAATTTTAATTACAATCATGTCACTATTCATTCTAAAATCTTTTATTCAATTATTTTCATATCTTATCTTCCTTAATATTATAAGTCAGGGATTTAACAAGATATTTGTTGTGAATTGTTTTTAAGAGAAGATTGAAAGGAATTTGATAATTTAAAAATAAATTTCTTAAAATCGGTGTTAATAATTCATATACTATATTAATTCAATTTATTAAGATATTTTATTATTTAATAATATGTATAGTATTTTGATATATCGTGATAACATCTTAATGTAATATTCATTATTTTTAATTTAAACTGATTTTAAGGCTACGATGGGATGCACCGTATAAAAATAAAAGAATAAGATGCCAACTCTTGGATTATCAGTATAAATATTTAAAATAAAACATAGATCTAAGAAACAGAAATACGTTGTAAAGAATAGCCATTAACTCCAGAAACAGTGGAAATGTCTAGTCCACGATAATAAAATATTATTATTATAAAAAAACTGATTGCTTCATCAAGTTTGAGTGTTGATCAAATGATTAAACCATCTTTAAAAAAAAGTTCACTTTCTACTTTAAGTAGGAGTAGAAGATCATGACCAAATTGATTATAAGGTTGTATATTGTTTATATACGAATTTAATATTAATATTATATTTTGTCATGGATAAGTCAAGTTTTGTTGTTAAAAACTGAGAAAAAGATTTAGAAAAATAATTGATGGACAAAGGAAGCATTTATATTTATGAATAGGTACATTCTAGATTTATATTAAATAATATTTCTTATTATCGCCTTTACAAAATAAATTATGTAATAAATTTACAAGTATTTAAAATCATATATCAGATAAGAAATATTAATGATAAAATTATTGAAGTAATTTTAATTAATAAGGAGAACTTAAAAAATAAATTTAATAACTTGTTTTCCTTTTACAAGTAGCTATAAATAGGAAGCAAATGTTGTTTTATGTGAGGCTTTAAATGCATTATATGAAGAGAATTCTAGAAATAATAAATTAGATATATTATCCTTATATTATTCTAAAATTTGGGAGGGTAGATTAGGATTAGTTGAAAATAAGATTTTGTTTTGTTAATTTTTAGAAAATTCAAATTAAATATTGCGTAAAGAATTTGCAATAGATAAAATTGAAAAGGATGACAATATTAGAATTAATAAAACATAATAAATATTTCATGTTTTTAATACTATTACTGAACTATAAATAATTAGATGGGAAGGAATTTAAGATTTATTTTAATGGATAAGAAATGAAAGTACATACTAATTATTTGAGAGAACAAATAAATTGCATATTTATCTAAAATTCATAAATTTATTATATGTTAATTAATATGACATATTAGAATTTCATAATAAGATAGAAAATACTATATTTAAATTTAAAAAAGTTACTCCAGAATTTGCAGATGAAAGATTAGAATATTATAAAGCAATAAATATGCTTAGATAATTTGATAGGATTGAGAAAGCTCATTTGAAAATGACTATATTAGAATTAAGTAAATTAGAGAACAGATAAATAGGATATTCACTTGAATAATTAGATATATTAACATAATATATCAATTTAGTATGTGAAGTATTTTTTGCAAATCTTTTATAAAAAAGAGATATTTTTAATGTTATTTAAGAAGATTAAGAGGAAGAAGAAGAAGAAGAAGAAAATTAGGATTTAGATGATTATACTTTACTTGACCCATTAAATAGATTGATAAGACTATTTTTATAATAAGATGCTTTCTATTATAAAAGATCAATATCAAGTTATAGAGATAAATTAGTTTAGAAAGAAGGATATTTAGATTTAGTAGATCCAGTTAAATGGAGATAACTTATGTCTGTATCTAAAGGTTTATGGGTATTGACTGATGATAATAAACATGATAGATCTTGTATTGATCTTTTTGAAAATGCTATATTTAGAAAATTAGAAACAGATACTGCATCTATTACTGATGGAATATAAATTATCAATTATATTTAAGATATTTAAGAAATGAAAGTTGGCCATTAATTTTTAGTAAATGATCAAATTATTATAGATTATGAAATCAATATGTGATTAAATAAATAATTAAGAATTGTAGGATTTATCAATTACTAGATAGAATCTAACCAATTTATTACATTAAATGTTGACTCTAGAAAGAAAAGCTGAAGAATTTGAATTGGCTTTTATTTAACCAGCATTACATAAATTAGAAACCTGGATTAAATAATCTAAATTTGATTCAGAATTTAAAATGTGTGATTGGTATGATCTAAATTTAGTAATTAAAAAACATTAATACACTGAATTAGAAGAATATGTGAATAAAAAATTAGAGTAATCATGAAAATTTATTAAAATATATATATATAATAATAAAACCATTCATAATTTAATAAATTTAATTATGAGCTAATATACTAAAATATTTCAAATAAATCTAAAGAATTTAAAGAAGAATTTAGATAACTCTTAGAACAAATTGTAGCACTATAACTTAAAATTTAAAGCTCCTTATGTCAAAGAAGTCTTAAATGTTATTAAATTATATAAACAATTATTATTTTAATCATTTTATTTAGTAATATGAATTGGTTAAATCTAATCCAGGTTAAAGTAATGGTAATTTTAGTATTTTTGCTTTATTTTTATCAAAAATAGCTGTTTATTATAAGACAAATTTAAAATTTTATATTGAAGATTTAATGGAACTAATAAATCTTATCGAATGATTGTCTTTTTTTTGAAATTGTTTAATTGTTAAGATAAGGATTTAAGCAGAATTATTTTTAGATTAATTATTAAAGATATTAAATAATTTAATAAGAAACATCAAAATGAAATATTAAATAAATAAATTTAAGTATTGAAATCATAGGTAAATAGAAAATATAGCAAAAAGAGCATTATAAATAATGATTGAATTATATCAAAAAGAATATTTGGAAAGACAATAAATATATAAATATTATTGTAAAGGATGCTTTAACTAAAATTATAATATAAAAAATGTTATTTTTTAATAGAAACAACTGAAACAAATGTTGAAATAGAATCATCAGAAGATGAAGCAGATATATATTTAAAAGAAAGGAAAAAATAAATGCGTTAAACAAACTAAGGCAAGAGAACATAGAGTGGAAAGGGACAAGAAAATGGGAGATAAAAAATAAAGGAAAAAATTATAAAAACTTAAGAGGAGTGGAGGATTCTTTGCTTTGGATTAAATATATTCACCTTAAGATTGAAAGAAAGATTATTTGAGAATCTTAAAAAAATAAAAATGAAAGATTTTCAGTTAAATTAGCAATGATGCATCTTATATCTAGATTGATTCATAGACATAAATTACTTTTAATACTTTTTTGTACTTATATTTAAAAGAATTTATATTCAAATAGTTAAGGATATAGCAAAATTATTTTCTTATTTAGCAGAATCTATAAATGATTAAATTTCAAAAGAAGATTTATAACCAACAATTAGACATTAAATTAATTAATTTATTAATGATAGATGTTAAGAATTAACATTAACAATGTGTTTAAGAGTAATATATGAAATATAATATAAACATCCAAAGATTTTAGATAAAGATAATATAACATATTTAATTTCATTATAAAAAATATAAAAATAGAAATGTAAGTTAAGCAGAAAGAAAGAAACTGAAATTGAATAAAAAATTGAAAATATTGAAGAAGATGAAGATGATTAAGATCAATATGAAGATTATATAGATGAAGATGATATTTCAGAAATAAGTAATGATAGTGTAAAATCATAAGATAATTAAGATGAAGAATGGGAAGATGATGATGATATAGAAGATTAGGATATTGATAATATTAAACCTGATAGTAAAATCACAAAACAATTAAATAAAAAGAGAAGATAATCATTATCAGATTTTGATGAAGATTCTGTTTAAGAATATTATTAAGAAGAAAGTTAGATATCAGAAGAAAATCCACATCGTTATCGTTATGTAAGAGAGGAAGATATTATGAGATATAGAAAAACTAAATCAGAATACAATCATCAAAAATTAGAAGAATTAAAGAATGAAACTAAAGAAAAATGGTATTTCTATTTTCTAAATCTAGCTATCAAGGTCCAAATAAAAAAAAATCAGAATTAGCATCTACTTCAAATAATGAATAATTAAAAAATAAACCATTATAAATGATGAGAGCTAAAAAAGTATAATAAAAAAATAAAGAATCAAGAAAAAAAAGCAAAATTAAAGACTTAAAAAATAAAATAAGATCATGTTAGAAGTAGAAAATAACCTTAAAGAATTAAGAAGTAACAAATTAAATGATTTTATGTGTATTATATATTTATATACAAAATCTCATTAAATCAATTCATTATTATAAATAATCTAAAAAAAAGACAGATATTTAGAATTCAAATCGGAAAATAATAAAATGATATTTAGATCAAATTCATTCAATTGGTAAACAAATATTATTCAATCAATTCATAATTAAATTAATTTCTATCCTATATTTTTTCAAATTATAATATATATAAAACTGCTATGCAAATATAAATTATTATTATAAAATTATTTAAAAAAAATAGACTTATATATTGAAAGAAAATCTTTCTTTCTATGTGTAATTGGCTTAAAAAGATATTTTTCTACTTTGTAAATTTATGAAGAAAATGAGAACAATTACATATTTGATCATAAATTCATTAAATTATTCCATAAAATTATAATTATAAATAAATAACTTTATACTTTATCAATAATTTGCCTTATTTAGGAACATAAACTAATTTAAAAATGTATGTAGGCTTATGTTAAATATAGTCTTAGATCAACTATTTGATGTAACTTATATATAAATTTTAGATCATATATGAGAATAGGGATATAAATTGTTAATTAATATAAGTATGATATACTCATCATACTTATTAGAAAAGTTGATTTATCAAAATATTTTCATATTTATCTTATTTTAAATTAACGATTATATGTGTTAATAATATTTAATAAATCCTTGATTATTGAATTTATTAACAAAAAAACAATAAAGAAAATAGATGATTCTTGATTCATGTATTTTAGGTGATGTTTATTTAGAATGTAAATTAATTTGTATGGATAAACAGAAATTAAATGCTTATTTAAAATAATTTAATGTATTGTGAATATGTTTTAGAATATCTCTGATGAATGATAATATTATTATAATTAAAAAAGGAATGTTAAAATGTTTGTGTATATATATAGTGAAATAAGAATTAATGAATCTAAAAAAGTTAAAGAGATTAATGGAACATAAGAAGAATAGAAATAAATAAAAAAATATTTAAGATTTAATGAATAGTTTAAGAATAAATCTTAGATGATTTATGAAATTTTAGATGATGATTGTTATACTAGTGTTTTTAATTAATAATATAATAAATATTACAGATTGATTGATTGCGATTACATGTTTATAATAATTTATCAAAATATTTCTTAATTATGAAAAAAATGGAACCAAAATAATTAGATTAGTCTTCTTCATTAAATTGCATGTTTAGTGAAGACGAATTAGAAAATATGGATGAAATTTTGGTAATGAATAGAATTGAGATGTTTAATATAGTCTTAGACAGATAGTCCAATAAAATGTCCTCCCATTAGTGAGGTTACCGAAGATAATTCTAGTTCAATGGCATCTGAAGATTAAGGTGAATATAATAGAATACATAATTAGATCAACAATAAAGAATTAATTAAAGACATAAGAATACTGTATAATTAGTATTAGATGTTAACATGGTAAATGAATAGATTTAAAAAAATGCTCGAAAAGCCCATTCTAAGGAATTTTTGAAAGAATTAGTTTCAAAACAAAAAAACAGATTTTAATTAGATGGATTTAATTTAGATTTAACATGTATTAAATCTTAATTATAAATGATATTACACCATAAATAATAGCAATGGGATATCCAGCAGATAATTTTGAGTCATTATATAGAAATTCATTAGATGAAGTTTAGAGATTTTTGAATTCTCGACATCCTGAAAAATACAAAGTTTTTAATTTGTAATAAAGATAAATTAAATAATAAGGTGTTCAGAAAGATAATATCGTCACGATTTATTTTATAAGGTAGTAGAATTTCCATTTGAAGATCATTAACCTCCACCTTTTTAAATAATATTACCATTTTGTTTAACAGTTTAGAAATGGTTAAAAAAATAAGATAGAGTAATAGCAGTTCATTGTAAAGCAGGTAAAGGAAGAACAGGAACTATGATAAGTTGTTATTTATTATTTTCTAAATAATATGATTCATCAAAAGATGCTTTAAAATATTATGCAATGATTAGAACATAAAATTAAGAAGGAGTAACAATACCAAGTTAAGCAAGATATGTTGAGTATTTTAATATTGCATTAAAAATGAATTTATTATATGTACCACCAAGAACAGTTGAATTGATAGAAGTTAGGTTAGTTGGATTACCAAATTTTGGTATATTTGGTGGATGCAGTATAATTTATTTAATTTATCTTAGAACCTTTTATTAGAATATAAAATGAAAATAAATAGTTAATATAATAACCAACAATATTAATTAATTAAGATTAATCAAAATAATAATATAGTGCTATTTTCAAATTTTAAGGAGTTTATTTAAGTGGAGATGTTGTAGTCTAATTTTTTCATAAATCAATAGTTTTGTAAATTTTAAATTAAATGAGATAAGAGAAGAGAAAATGTTTTAAGCGTGGCTTCATACTTCATTTGTATTGATGAGTCCATAATTATAAATGTTTAATAGACATGAATTAGATGGAGTTAACAAAGATAAATAATTTAAGAAATTTCCAATTAATTTATGTCTAGAAATACTTTTTGATAAAGTTGTAGCAATTCGTAGAAGATCAGATTGTATAAAATGAAAAATTAATACTAATTTTCATTCTAAAAATAATTTCTCATATTCTAATCTATAGTTTTTATTGAGTGAAATGCTTTCATTATCATCATCATTTTCATTTTATATTTATAATTTCTAAGATCCATTAAAATTATCAAAATAAAAACATAGTTTCCTTTTCTATTACCTAAATTCCTTTTCAAAAATATCAACTCTAAGAAATGAAACCTTGGTATGTTGAATATCTTCATGTGATTATTTCAATATTATTTCGTAATTCCTTATGATGAATGAACAAATATGTAACTTATCATAAAAAAATAGTAATTTACTACTATGTCTAATTCAATTTTATCTGTTGATGTTTCTATCAATGGTTTAGGTTTCTTTAACTTAAAATTTTAAGTATTAATAGCCATAAATTCTATTTAAGTTATATTTGGATTATGCTTGATATCATCCCATATAACATACTTTTCTATATTTTTTGATTTTCTAAAGAATAGTACTATACCACTTATTATAGCTGGTGATGATGTATCATCTAAAGCTACTGCTATATTAGACATTCTAATTATCAAAAAATATTAAAAGGGGACATAACTAAAAGAGTAATCCAATGCTTTTATAATGGTTTTTCAAAGTTAGATTTATAAATGTCACCTTTTTTCAATATTATATTTCAAAAGCCTCAATTTTCTTTAATCCCAAAGTTAGATACATTGAAATTTTTCAGGATCAAGTATATTAATATCAGATTTATCTATAGCTTCCAGTAAAATCACAATACAATTATTTAATATAATCAATATTATCTTTCTAATTTTCATTTTCATAGATATAACTGACAATGCTAATAAATTAACAATAGCAATTTCATTGACAGCCTCTCGTATACTTTAATATAATTTTATGCTCCCTTTAAATTTTTTCCTTTTTTATTATTATCTTTTCTCAATTATTTGAGCATATGATACAATTTTCCTTTTTTATGGTTTTTCGTAATGCATCATCTATCATTTGTCTAATGTTTAATGATATTTGATATATAGTTATAGTATTAAAATATTATTTAATTTCTCCATTATATGGTCTAACTTAAGAATCGATAATGAATTATTCTTCATTAATTTGGACTATCCTTCTAAATCCATATTATAAAAATTTTGAATGATTTCAAGATATGCCTTTTTTGGATTTAAATTGTAATTTATTCTATATTCATTTAATTTTTACATCCATAATTATATTTTTTTTAATATTTCCAAAGGTGGAGCATTACCTAATCTATTTAAGTTTGAAAATCTAATCCTTTTTTTTATAATTCTTAATAAAATGCTTTTCATTAAATTCTTTCCTAATATTCATTTAATTCAATTTTTTAGAATTTACTTAGCGTAATTTATTGGATGTAATCTCTTTATCTTTATTCTTCTTCTCTATCACCTAAGATTAAATAAGATAATAAAATCTTATCTCTTTCACTAATTAATTATATGGTATGCCTTTTGTATTTAATTTATTTTTTAGAATTTATATCCTTCTTTTCTGCTACTTCTCTTATAGCTTTTAATTCTAATTATTATTTTGTATATCTTCATTTTTCTTTTTTTATACTTCAATAAGCTTTTCCATCTCAATCTTGTTTCTTACTATTTTCTCTACATCAATTTCTTATACTAATAAAAATTATTCTTTTAATTTATCAACTTCATATTTATAAATCTTAGTCTATTCTTCTAATTAAGCTATCATTCTTAATATTCATAAAAATATAGTTATAATATTAAGTCCTCTAACTTTGTTACTCATTGATCTATTCTACCTCTAATTTTTATAATTTTCTTTCTAAATAACATATTCTTAATATACTGCTTAATATACTATCATTATCTCTTTAAATTATAGCTCTCATTAATTGATCTTATTAAACATTTAATTCCTCTTCTTAGGAACTTAAAATAATTACTATTTTATAACTTTCTATATTTCTCTTTCTTTCTAATTTGAAAATATTAATAAAGCTGCATCTGTAAGCATTAATGAAGACCTTTTTCTAGACATTATTTTTATTGCTCTATTTAATTATAAATATACTATACATTTCCATATTTATATTTATATTAATCAATCTTAAAATCAATTACTTATTCATCTCTATTATATCATATCCGAATTTTTTAACTATTCACTCCCTCTTATTTTAACTATAATTAAATTCAATATTTATATAATATTTATTATTTTCAATATTAATCAGAATATCTTTTATCCATAATTATCTACTTCATCTTTTCTTTTTAAATATCTAATTACATCCAAGACTTAATACTCTTAAAAATTCTTACATTATTCAAAATATTATTTAGTTCTTGACATTACTTACTCCATTTTAATTGTTACATTATTAATAATTATATAGTATTTTGGTAAATTTCTGTTTGCACAGCAATTTTTGATTTCTTTTTTAACTTAATCTCCAATAATAATTTCTTTTTATTTTATTTTAGGTATTAGGCCTTTTTTGTTGCATACATTTCCTGTCGAATTGATCCTTTTAATTTTATCATTTAAATTTTAGACTCTTGCAATTTTTTGTATTGTTTGGAAATTTTCGAACTTACAACATGTTTGAAGAATAATTTTTTGGAAAATAATATTAATATTTTAATACTCAATTTTTAACTTGTAAATTCCAATACTAATTTAATTAATAACTATATTAAGTGCCAAAATCTATAAAACTAATAGTCTTTACCTTAAAAATAGTTTATCTTTTTATAATATTGATAAGATATCGAATAAAAATTTGCTTTCTTTTATAAATAATAATAAATAAATTTTATTCTTTCTAATGATATAAATTCCTTATGCTAATCAACAGGTTTCATAGATTAAAATTGCTGAAAGTTAAATTACAAATATTGACAAGAATATTATAAGAGTATTGCAATTATTTTCTATCACTGGGCAATTAGACATGGATATTGAAAATATAAGTAATTGAAATCATAATTTTAGGACTTGAATTATCAGAAAACTCTCATTTTTATCCAGAAGCCTTATTTACTTATCTCAAAAGTTACACTCCAATTGCAAATCAAAATCAAAATCAATAACAATAAAAATTTTTCGATTTCTCAGTAAATTATTATATCTATTTAGGATCTATAATCTTCATCCCCTTTGGTAATCAATATAATTAATAGTTCAAAAGATGGAATTATCAAATTTGAAAACTTAATTTCCTTTTTGAATGATTTCTTATAATCTTCAATCAATATTAATCAAATTTAGAGCATAGAAAGAATATATCATGTTAATTAATTTGCATTTTAACAAGATTAAGCACTTGATTCCATTAATAATGAATATCCTTTACCATAAGATGTCACTTCAATTTCTAATAAAAAATAACCTAAAGTTTAAGGTACTACAAAGATTCCATTCGCTAAATTAGAAAGCTTAGAAAAGGTAAATTCTGGAGAAGGATTTAATTACTCAACTTTCAAAAAATTAATACTATCATAGTCAATTCCTCTTGCTAAATAAAAAGCTTAAAAGAGAAAATTAATTTATGAAACCAATTAATAGTAAAATGTTCATATTAATGTTTTAAAATAATTCGCTAAATTGTTATAATAAGAATTAGATTTATAAAATAAATCTGAATAAATTAGATTGCAATTAAATACTGATAAGGCATTTAATCATGTTGCTATGTTTAATATTTTGGATGTTCATGGTAATGGGGAAATCCAATATAACTTTATAGAATAATTAATGAATAAAGCTCAAATTCCATTTAAACCATAAATTTTTAAAGCTTTAGTTAGAAGGGTTAATTTATAGAGTAATAGTAATTCTCTATCTGAGTGTGTGATATTTGAAGGTTTTCGTTTATTGACAACAGTTTAAAATCCATACTTCAAAATTCCAAAACCAGAAATTGAAGCTTTACCTTCGAATATTGAATATTCAAGAATTTTAGGTGCAGAAGTTAGTGGTCAAAGCTCTTAACAATTATCAATTTCAAGAATTCCTGATAAACTCAAAAATTCAACTCAAAATTATAGATCCAAGCCAGTAATCCCTTTGTATTATAGTACAAACCCATATGTTAATGAAACATTAAAAAAATAAAGCAAAATTGAAGAAAGCAAAAAATAAAATTATGATAGTATATAAAATGATTATGTAATTACTAATTTATAAAGTAGATTGTCTATGGAACAAAGAGAGAATGGGAAGAATTGTAACATTCAATGAATTCAGGTGTGTTGATTGACACTTAATCATTAAAATCTTAAATTTAAAGAATTTAAAACTCATAAATTAATTACTCATAAACTTAATTAAATAGTAAAGCTCATGCTTAAACAGATAAAAATGAGATTTAATTAATACAATAATAAGCTTTAGAAGAAGATCTTGATAGAAGACGAAATGAAGAATTGTCTAAATAATTATAATAAGCCATAAATGCCAATACAAAAGGATATTATTCAAATCTAATCAAAATTGAAAAAGAAAAAAAAGAAACTGAAGATATCAATTAATATGTCATTTAAGCACCTTGGTATCAAAATGATATGAAAATCAATAAAAATGTCAATCTTATAAAATAACAATAAGAATAAATTCATAAATTTTCAGGTTTCAAATAACCAAACACTGTAATAAATCAAACTTAATAAAATGATTCATCAAGATTACCCCCTAAAGCTCCAAAAAAGGAAGTCATTCAATCTAATGTTTAACCCTTATAATAATAACAAAATAATAATTAATAATAATCTGCTCAATCTTAAATTATACCAGACCAAGATGTTTCTCCAATTAAATCAAGAATTTTTTCATAATAAAAATAAAATCCACTTATATATTAAGACAATTTTCAATAAAAAATTATGGATTATAAATGTGATATCCCAATTAGACAATTTGATTATTAAAACTGAAATATTTTATTTTTCTGGCTAATTTTTTTTTATAATATTCTATAATAAGGTATTCAACTATTTATTTATTTTTAATTGTATTTAAAACATTTTATTTTAATAATTATTTTATTAAATTGATTCTAAACAAAAAATGGTATTAATTTGATGTATAATTAGGATGGAGAAGATGAAATGTAGAAATAAGCAAGGTTAATGGCTGAGAAATATAAAGATGGGCCTAAAAAGAAAGGAGCATTAGTGAAAAAAACTTAAGAAGTATTTCTTTAATATTTACATATTAGAGAACATAATTTGATTCAGCTACACATGAAATGCAAAAATAAGCATAACAGCATCCTCCTAAATGATGATTCGATTATTATTACAATATTAATTAATAATTAAATCTCTTTTTCAATATTTTATTTTCATTAGATTATTCTTAGATGATCACAAAAATTAGAATTCACTCTAATTTAAAATCTCCTTTTAAACTTTGACAACTTAGTTGTAATAAATCCATCTATGATTAACAAATATTTGTTTTAATATTTTTTTTTAGAAAGATGGCCGAACGAATTTTAAGATTAATCTATTTTAATACTCTAAACAATTATCTCTTAAATTTTCATTTAAAATACCCTTTTTATAGGAAGCCCTTCTTAAAAATTTAAAGAAATTTAAATTTTTAGATTTAACAATGTATTTCTTCAACTTTTACATTCAAAAAGTAATAAAGGAAGTTGCTAGTTTTTTTTTTGAACAATTATCGAATAATGTAAATATCGTATGCATTGCTTGAAAATTTCTTTCATTAACTAATAAGAAAAAATAACAAATATATGATATCTCTTATTTTTAAATTTCATAAATAGATGAATGATAGTTGAATTAAATAAAAATTGAATATCAATGTTAAAATCTACATTTTAGTAATTAAATTTTACTCCTATTTGTAGATACTGTGCATTACTAAATAATGATTATTATAAACATCAAAAGGAGCCATTCTATAATTTAATTAACAAAAAAATATTATCATTTATGAATTTATGTAACCTCTAAAGTATCTTTTTAGTATTTTTGGATCATTCATAGATAAAAAAAGAGTTTTTAAATACTCTTATTTTTTTAGCAACTTAGAATTATTAATAATTTAATATCTTCTGAAATTTAGCAAATATTCATGATTTA